CACATAGGATCAAGTAATCTAATTTGTTTGTAATAATTACCTATTAAATAAATAAAATAAATAAATAAATAATATATATATATATATATATATATATTAGTCATTAAAATATTTGGAATGTGGCTTGCAAAAACACCTATATCCTGACACATCAATTGAAATGTTTCGAAGACTACCGCGTAAGTCTACCGCGTCCAAGTTGTACATATTTAAGCATTTAATTATTGAACATTGTATATAGCTGAGCAGAGTTGGATATAAAACTTTTACTGTTAAATACATCCTTACTTTTCCACCTCGTAATACATTATGTGATTCAATTGCAATTAAACTTGTCTATCCTGAAACAAAATGGATTATACAAAACTGTTTGTTCTTGAATTTTTGCTTTCTTACTCTGAATGATCGTAATTTGTTCATATTTATACATATTGTAAAATATAAAATTCGGATGTTCTAAACCTTTTTAGAAATTCACTTATAACACTTCGTGATTTATTTGTCTCTTAGAATCATAGTCATTTGAAAACAATTTTGGCCAGATATGTTGTAATTGAAATTAATAACACTTTAAGATTTTGCACTACATAATGCCCAGTTATTCTTTATAATTGAAATCATATATAAAATATTCTATCCTTTATATCGAATTAAGTTAGGCAATTGTTTTCAAAAAGAAAGAATTTAATTTCGCCTCTCAGGAGCTTAAGTTTTATTTACGAATCCGTTGGGGCCTAGGAAGTATTTGTACCTCGGTGCGCATTTTCTGCTTGTTATTGGATCACAACCCATTATCATGTAATTAGAGATATCTTTGAAAATTAAATCACACTATTTAAATCGAGTATGTTGGGCAGTTTAATTATATAATTGTATATTGGTGAATACCGTTTATTACTAGTGACTATTCTCACACACTTTGCTCCGTTCGGGAATAAAACCCGGATTGCTCCGTGGAAAGCGAGCAGACTAACCAAAGTGCCACAGAGGACGCCCATGGGCGCATATGACTACAACTCGATAGTAATGCACGATGGTTTTCAAGACCCCAAAGGGACATTACGTATGTTTCATCTATGTTTACTTCCATTGGCGGCTCGTGAACAAATGTTCAGGACGGGTAAAACAGAAAACTGAACAGCAGCTTATCCCAGGAAGTGAGCAGGCGACCATGCCCTACTTCATTCCAATTTTTTGCAAGTCTGTTCAAAACAATTGTCTTTCTGCTGAAAAACGACATAGTTTCCAAGATGACAGATTTTTTCTGAGTTAGTGCCTCAACGATTAGTATTTTCTCAATTGCCGTTTTAGTTAATCTCTGAAAGTGTATTTCAGACAATTTGTTCAGATCTTTGCACTGTTCATGCAGTACAGATAGGAAACACAATATTATTTCACTCGCGAAGCGCGTTCTTAGAATTCGGCACGCGATGCTGGCCGGCATCTTGCAGCGTCTGTGTGGGCCCAATTCCTCGAATCAGTATTGTGGTCGCCGATACCTTTCTAAACATGGCGGCATCTGACCTGTTCGAGTTCCTGCATGTTCCCAGAATTGCCATCGCTGGACCCGAAATCGCGCGACCCTTCTGGAGTTCGGTTTCTATTTACAAGAGTAGTGGAAGTCTGACGACAGTCAGCCTCTCAACTGCTAGTGGTACAGGGATTTCTTTTAACTCTCTTTCCCTGACTGCAAAGACGCAAAAGTGAAGACGAAGACTGAAAATCGTTTGAACAAATACGTAGTGAAATTTGGAGATGTTTTTACCAGTGATGGAAAACGCTTTATTCAGTCAATCTTGCGGAAAATCCATTGCGATCATTCAGCATTCCCAAGTTATCCAGCATTTGAGCAGAACAAGCATGTACAAATTGTAACACGTACGAAAGGTAAACACACATTTGTTAATGTATCACATCCAGCCGGTACAAGCGCATCTTCAAAATTCTCCACGTATTGTGCGGATTTGGGTCGTGCTTTTCTTTGTGCTGACATACTGCTTTAAGGTAAACAACTCTTCATTAAAATAATTTCTTGTCAAATACACGAACATTTCCCTGATGAACCCACATTTCGTAAGAAGTCTTCTTCAGTGCTGCGAAGAAACTTTACAACATATTCGTACTGTCTGTCAAGAAGAGAAAATGTGGGTGTGCATCGATGAAACACCTGGCTCTAGTGGAAGAAAAGTCGGAAATGTCGTCATTGGTGTACTGAGTACCTTCTAACAATGTGAAAGAAACTTCTTTCTTCTGACATGCGAGGAAATGACTGCAGAAAATCACATTAATGTTGCAAGGATTTTTAATGAGGCAATGCATTTCCTTGGGCCCCATGGGGTAAAGTTCGGCAGTGATTTTCTTCTCCTCTCTAATGCAGCGACATACATGAAGACAGCAAATGGTCTCATGGTGAGTTATCCCAAAATGATTCTCGTGACTTCCGTAGTTTACGCGTTGCACAGAGTTGCAAATACCCGAACTTGGCATTACCCGAACGTAGATAAACTGATCTCAAATAGAAAGAAAGAATTTGTAAAATCCCCATCTAAGACTGATTTATTGAAGACAAAGAATCCTGATACTTCAATTGCACCGCACCTATTGGTAACACAATAGGAGACATGGTTGAATGATGCAGAGTACTATGCACACAATTTTTGAATGTTTCAAATCTGTTATATACTGTCTAAACAAACACTATGTTTCTTCAATTGAAATTCTACAATCCCTTTGAATGATCCAAATATTAAAAACTATTTAGTCAATATTCCACAAAATATCTCTTTTCTGATTAAGGCTATAAATACACTAGAAAATGTAACAATTCTTTTTCTCAGGCAGAGAAAATAAAATCCCAAGTTGAAGAAAAACTGGGGAGTCTGAAATGATCCCATGCTGACGCTGTCCAGTTAAAATGTAAAGACATATTTCATAAAAACCAAGAGTATCAAGATATTTGTAAAATTTTGAGAATTTTGGAAGGGCAAAAAGAGGAAGAAATTGAAAACTTTAACGTAAGTGATATTGTTTGTTTGAAATATACTCCAATCAGGTCTTGCAATGTAGAACGTACTTTTTCGCGATATACTCGTAAATTCTTCTTTCGAGAAAATCGAAACTGAACAAACTAAAGATGGTCTTTACAGTACACTGTAATACAAACGTTAAAGTAGATATATTTTTAAAAATAAGTTCAGTTGTAATAAACTCAATAATAATCATGACATTAGCAAATTGTTTTATTTTTATCATATATTTTCCTACTTTTGCCACATAATTTGAGGTTTTTCCTAACATGAACATGTGCATATTTTAGATATTTATTGCACCTAAAAATCATTCGCTAATAATTGCATTCCAAAGCATTATTTCCATGAAGCACGCGCACGCGTGATTTCAAGATATTCAGGCGCTAAAAAATTGTTTCAGGTTTATGTTTACTGACAATAATTTAAAAATCGAATTTATTTTTCCCCAGACGTTCACTGAGTTCACTGAATTCACTGAATTATTTACGTGATCTTTTACAATTATATGTTTTTTAATAGTTTTGATGCACATTTCTTGTAAAAATGTCCATTTATATTGCAAGAACTCTTTAATTGACAATAAAAGACATGGCCGACAATACCAAGACAATGCCCATAAAGTTTTGCTTTAATTTCACTATGTTTTAGCCACATGTGTAGTCAATCGTGGATCATGCATTGACACAGCATGGACCTACGCTCACAGCAGGGCCTTTTCTCAAAATACGGCGCGAAGTAAGGCAGCGCCCTGGCGTGCCTACCCTGAGAGGTACAAGCGGGTGCAAGTCTCATTGTCAGTAGGAAGAGACGAGACATAGCATGGCGCATGAGCTGTCAGAAGAAGCTGAAATGGAAATATGGCTCAAATCACGATAATGAATTGTTTATTATACATTTCCAGATGTACAATACTAATACATTAAAATTGTATACTATTAAAATTATAAGTAATTTTTTAAAATTATTATGAAATGTATTAAACTAATACACATTTATTTGGGTAGGCAGTGACTCCCTTGCCTTTCCTACTCGAAACAACAGCTCATGCTATCTTGAAAGATCTTTAAAACATTTTTGAACATAATTGCATTACTATGTTTTTTAGGTGATACTCCCACTCTACAGCACGGATTGTCAGTATCGATCAAAGTTCAGAGTTCTAGAAGGCAGCTATTTTAACTATTAAATTAATGATTTTTAAAGAAGGTGGCTTGGTCGTATCCATATAGTAAATATATAAAGCGCTAACTAGAAACACATATTCTTGACGCATTCCAAGAAGTATGTTTAACATCAAAAGTTTGGGCGTGTTGAAGATTGTGTTGCAGCGTTAGACCACAAAACTAAGCACCGGTTACAAGACAACAGCTATCTGCATGCATCCACCTGCATCAAATTAAGAGACACGAAAGTACAAGATAGATACCAAGAACAACTGTTGCTGCAAAAACGCCTTGTAAACTCCGTGATGTTAATGCTGCTTCAACTGTGATGTGCGAAATTGTGGTAATGTTTTATTTTATATCGCGTGCAAAGCTACCCTAAAATAAAACTTTACTTGAAGTTGTTAGTATGTTTATTCTTCCTACTCAGCACCATTTTGGTTTTTGCCGCGTTCATTTCACTGTCATTCTTGCAGTGATGTCGCAGACTTCCAGAAGACCGGCCCTTTGAAGAGAGTAGCCGCTTAGGAATGGATAAGATAGTTGCGATCGCGTAAACTAGAGCTGCTCAAATGAAACAAATTTGAGCTCGACTTCCCGCGGTAGCTCGCTGTAATGTCTCGCGTGCCACACGCCTTCCACTAGACTAGAACCGATCGCGCCAAACCACCTCTCCCCGCGGCTGAATTAAGATTCAGCCGGTCACACTGATAACCCTAGACACGCCAATATAGCTGTGCAGTTGACCAACACCGTTCTAAACGACGCAGAAGACGTCTGAAACCGTCAACCCACAGTTCTGGAGGCGTCCGGTAGCTTTCACCTCGTGCCCAGACTTGCGCCAGCAACGGGCAAGCGGCGCGGCGTTGCGCTCCGATAAATCATCAGGGAGCGCGCACACAAACACCCGCTCACATCAGGGTACACACCGCGTACCCACCAACACGCGGCCGGCAGGCGCTCGCGGCACTCGGCGAGAAAATAGCGATAAATGAGTTTCCGGAGCGCGCCGCAAGGTAGCGCGCCCGGCGGCGGCAGTATATTTTTTCGCTGGACGTCCAAAGCGTCGAGGCGCGTGTTCTATCAGCGTTTCCCCGTAATTTACGAGTTTCGCGAATTCTCCGCGCGCCGTAATGCCGCCACCCGTGCTCTCCTCGTGCCGCCGCGCCGCGGGTTTCAATTTTTGAGCGTCGAGTTTTCCTGCGCGCGCCGCACGTTGGGGGCAAGATCTCGAAAAGCCGGCCAAAAAACGAAAACGTTATCCATATTTAATGAAACTTTGTATACTTTGTTTTTTGGGCACGCTGATTACGATTTCAATGTCAAAATTCCAAAACCAATAATGGCAGATCCAATATGAGGGGTTAAAAATTAAAAATCGTCTAAAAATGTTAACAGTTTCATAAAGATT